AGTTGGTACCGTACCGTACTATACGTACCGTACGGTACCGGTCGGGACGTCTACTATAGTAACGTAGTAGGTACGTAGTAGGTACGTATGTCACTATTAGTCTACTATATATATATATATATATATATATATGAAAAAGTTTATATGAGGGTGAGGCTCTAAACAATCAAATTAGGGCAACATTCAAAATTTCACTAAAAGATGTTGTTTTGAAGCATAAAAATCCTCAAATTAATCATCTCGATCTCAAGATGTGGACATGAGAAGAAATGGATTTCAAGTATTAGAAATAGTGCATCTTGTAATGTATTTTTGGACCGTCAATTTTCAAGATTTTCAAGTGTTCATAGATTTGCTTGATTTATAGTATTTTCAGAGTTTTAAATTTTATAATTAGATATGAAAATAAAATTTCAATCCATCAAAAAGATTTCCAGTATTGAAACATCTTTTGACACTATTTGAAGGTGTGCTCTACTTTGATTGTGTAGAGCCTCAGCCTTATATATGCCCTAAACAATCAAATTAAGGCGTACCACAAAAATTCATTAGAAAAGGTTGTTTCGATGTGATTCTCTAAATGTGATTAAGTGGTGTAGATTGGAACAAAAAGTTCCTTGGGAACTTCGGTCTTTTTGGTTGCATGTCATTGACTTAGCGACAAGTTTAACACTATTCTTCTTGCATGTTTATAGGGAGGCCAATTTTGTGGCTGACCTTCTTGTCAAAGGGGGTACTTCTTTATCCTCTCTAGTTGTTTCTGATGATGTCATTTCCTTTGATTAAAATCTAATAAAATTATTGATCTTGCTCAAACAAAAGATTGTTTCGATGCTTACAAACCCTCAATTCGATAATCTCAACCACAAGATGTATAGACATTAGAAAAAGTAGATTTGAAGTCTTGAAAAAAGTACATCTTGTAATGTATTAGCTAGACTGTCATGTTTCAAAATTTTCAAGTGTCCCATAGATTCGCTCGATCTACACTAGGTTTTAACTTTAAATTTTATAATTAGAGATAAAAATATATTTTTAGGCTATCATAAAGATTTATAATACTGAACAATATATTCCAGCATTATTTTGTCCCAATATTAATTCATAACTATCAATAACAATTTTTACCACAATAAGCAACATAAACTATTTTTTTCTTGTATGCATGGATTGGACAAATTCACAAACCTTATTATAAATCTTAGAACCCTAAAATTCTACAAGAAATTGAAATTAATGCCAAAAACACTAATAACTTCACCCCAATCAAGTACTCTGAACTAGCCACTGTTATTCATAACAAATCCCACTAGTTGAGAAATCATAACACAGGAATCATAAAACCCGTTAAACATCATTTGAAAGAAATCAGAGGACCCAATATAAAAAGACAAAATAAGAGAAGGATTATATAGGAAGAGTGCGTACGTCAAAGAATGAGGGGAAATGTTATATATATATAGGCCTTGTGAATTATTAATGAGATCTCTACTCAAAACTACGTATTGAACCAGTGTGTCTTTTTTTTCTTCGATTTTTGATGGGTTTTTCTCCCTCTTATGGTTTGGTTTGATAGAATTCATGGCCTTTATAATGAAAACCCTAGAAAATTTTAGGGGAGAATAATGGAAGGTTACCTTCACAGGCCTGCTAATGGGGTGAGAATTAGGAGGAAAAAAAAAACAGACAGAACATTGACTTGAGGAAGAGAGACATGACGGCTTGGCATTTGGGATGAGAAAGATAGAGCAAAGGAGGGTGTAGCATGTGGGATTAAGGAGAGAGAGAGCAAGGATTGGAAGCCTTTAAATCGATGATCTCGACTTATTAAAAAAATTAGGATTTCAAGCTAAAAAAATAATATATATTGTAACAAAAAATAAGTATTCATAGATCTACAAGTTCTTTACCATTTTTTTAGTTTCAAATTTTATTCTTGGTGTTGGAAATTGATTTTAGAACCATAGAGATTTTCTTTGTTGAAAGTACTTTATGGAGAATTTGAAGTGAGGCTATATTTTGTTTTCATAAAACCCATAGGCCTTATATAAACCTCATCCTCAAAAGAAAACTCACAAAGGTGCTACAGTGGGTATTTGCTCCCTCAACTAAAATTAATTTATCGAATGGTTTTAAAATTTTGGTATTTCCATTTTTAAATGCTCATTTTTATGAATTAAAGCGTATCTTGAAATCTAAAAAATAATTTTTATTAGGTCTTTGTCATGACATATTATGTATGATTATGCTTTCACATGACCATTTTTTAGGTATCTCTCTATGCAGCAACGAAACTTTGGCGGAAACTTTATAGTTTCAGCCCACTATATGCAAACACGTGCTACTGCATTAAAACGTGGACTAAGGCTGTCAAACGGGGCGGGCCGATCTGACTCGGGTCTGGGTCCAAACCTATAAAATGGACTCGGAGGGTCAGGTTCATGTCGTTTTGGCCTCATCATCATCATCATCAAACTTTCAACAATTAAGCCTGGATTTTTCAAAAGCCATTCAATGAGAAGCTTACAAAGAGACCATAAAAACATGAGGAACTATACCATACACCATTTTTTGGTACTATGAAATCCACTACAAGAACATCTACCATCTATTCCGATCACAAATTGTGGATATAAATAAGGGTTATATTAAGGTGCTTATGTTATAAAGCATTTTATAATTGTATTCAAACAAATTTGATAAGAAGGGTGTTATATCATCCACATAAAATATTAAATATCATTTATTTAATTCATATAGGTTACATCACATCCCATACAGATGATATGACACCCCTTTTAATGGTAAAAAATACCCTTATTAAAAAAATATTTAATGTATAAAACTAAGATATATAAACGTCCAAAATTTATTGAATATAATTATAAAATATTCTATAGTGTGAGCATCCTAACCTAACCCTATAACTAACATGGAACATGGAATTCATTAGTTACAGCTAACCACAATCGATCTCTACCATTCGTCATGAAATTAGGACGAACACCCTTATTGTGTACCATGAAACATAGTGGTGCTTTTCCCTCAAATTTCTATCCATCACCTCTGCACCTAAAATTCATGAGGTTATAGATTGGCCCGAATGGGGCCAAGGGTCAGGAGGAACATGCACCTCCACTGTGCCCTCTAAAATCAAGACCACCTTCTTCATGGATGGCCTCAATGCAGGTTCTTCCTGAATACACCATAGCCCCACCATGACCATCCTTTCCAGTCTCTTCGTCTCCTCTTGAACCTCCAATTCTTCAGGAGCTATCAGTTTCTCCAAGCAACCATCTTGAACGCATTTGTAAACCCAATCTGAAAGTATTATCTCATCTTCAGGGGCATCCACCATCAAGCTTTTTCTGCAACAAATGATTTCCAGTAGCATTGCACCATAGCTATACACGTCCACCTTAGCAGTGACAGGAACATTCCTGTGCCATTCTGGGGCCACATACCCTCTGGTTCCTCGAGCACCCGTTAATGTCCTCGTTTGATCAGGCTTCAACCGCTTTGCCAACCCAAAATCTGATATCCTAGCCGTTTGAAACTCATCCAAGAGTATATTTTGAGGCTTTATATCACAATGTATTATCTGGGTGTCACACTCTTCGTGCAAGTATAAGAGTCCTCGAGCTATGTCAAGAGCCATCTTCACTCTATCCTCCCAATTGGGTTGGTTTTCTCCGTTAAATAAGAGCTCTGCAAGAGATCCATTTCTCATGAACTTGTAGACTAAGAGCCTGTGAGAACCCTCATCACAAAAGCCAAGCAAATGAACCAGGTTTCTGTGATGGGTTCGACCGATCACATTCATCTCGGTTCGAAACTCCTTCTCTCCTTCTTCTCCGAGTTTATCCAACTTCTTTACTGCAACTTCATCATTGTTACATAAACTCCCTTTGAATACTGTCCCAAATGAGCCTTTTCCTAGTTCTTCTGCAAAGCCCCTAGTGGCTTCATAAAGCTCACCATAAGCAAAAGATCTCAAATTCACTATGTTTTTAAGAGAATGGTTACTCGAAAGCCTGTAGTGCCATCCCATTCTTGTTCGGTAGGCAAGAAAACCAGAGAATGCTAAAGACAACACAAGAGCACTTCCAAGCACCAAGCTAATGGGGAACCACTTATTAAAAGGCCCACCTAGATTTCCCCCTATAACTGAACCATTTGAGTTTCCTGAAAAATAAGGAGGATGAGGAGGGTTTTTAGGCGAAATATTGGATGAACCATTAGTGGTCACATTGTGTGGAACCTTGAAGAAAGCCTTCATTGAACCAGAAGTTCTTCTTCCATATCTCAAAGAGGATTTCATTATAGCACACTTTTGAGCATCAAAGAAAGCGGCCATGCATGTGCATTCCTCAAGACAAGTTTCTTTGCAATCATCTTCAGTCACAAAGCCATTAGTGTATTCAGGGCCTTCCCATATGATGTTTTCAATAGATTGGATGGTGAAATTAAGTTTTCCATCTTCGCATTCCCCATCTTTGAAGCTCCTTGCGCAGTCGAGAAATGTTCTCTCAGGGCCAGGCGCACTAAAACCAGGAGCACATCTACAGGTTGGGTATTTCAATTCCTTCAAAATACAGTAGCTATTAACCCCACATATCCCCTTCACATCACAAGGCGCTCCAATAGCTGCCCAAATGATAGAGGAAGTCAGGCTACCATCTTTTTCAGGGCCATGAGAATATAATTCAAGCTTACCCTCAGAACTTAATGTCATCCTATACATAAAGCTTGAATCTTTGCTTTCTGAGAAGTTTCTTGCAAAGTAACCAGAAGAATTCATGAGATATAAGCGACCATCTGGGTCTAAATTCAGTGTTAAACTGTTACCTTGGCCATTGGTTGCAGTGGACCAGTAAGAATTATCAGCTGTATCAGTGGTGTTTATCGGGTAAAGCACAAGATTACCATCTTCTTGCATTTTGAGCCTGAACTTACCAGAGGAGAAGATGGTATCAGAGTAAGAAGAGAGGAGCTCATAGCCATTTAATAGCCTTTGGCCGCTCACGATAGTATCGGTTGGTACATCAAAGCTCTGCCATACAACCTTGGTATAACTGTAAAGAACAAAGTTGCCATTATCGAAAAAGGCAGCTGAAGTTACTGAAATTGAATTGTTTGTGATGGATCTTTCTTGGATTCCTCTGTTTCTCAGTAAGAGTTTACCATTACCGGTTAGAATGATGGAGGTTCCATTGAGAAGAGGAGGATCATCTCTATTTGCAGTCCAAATCAGTGTTTTTTCAGGGGTTCTAGGCATCCAAACTCCTACCATGAAGTGTTGGGGCTTGCTGACAGGGTAGAAACCAAAAGCAAAGGTACCAGAAGGGGAGAGCCAGTAACTATGATTATTACCAGTTGGGGTTGTAGAAAGAGAAGAACCCAAGCTTATTCTTCTGAATGGGTAAGTAGAAGGAGAAGGCATGCTTAGAATTCGAGTTGGTGAAGCCATGCCTGTGCTTTGGAGAGAGGAGGATTGTGCTGAAGAGAGAGAAACAATAAGAAACAATGGAACAAGGAAATAAAGAAGAAGAGGAAATGTGGCCATTGAGGACACCATTAAAGACTCTGCAAATTTCCTGCACTTGGTCTACTGGTTCTTTGGAGAAAGAAATGGAGAGCTGGCGTTAGAAATGGAGAGGTGGAGTTTACATAACGGACACATGGTACTCCATCCATTCTGGACGCGTCTTAAGGGGGAAACGACTTTGAAAAGCATCTTCAAGACTTTGAAAATGTACAGCAAAACCGAGTGGGCATTGAAGGAAGTCGCTTTTAGAAAGATGCAGATCACAGGTAAATAGGGGTGGCAACGGGTCGCATCCTGCTGGATCCGGACCTGGACCCAAATAGTATTTAGGTCCAAAATTTGCACTCATCTTCAGATCCGTTGGGTATTGGGTTTACCCGTTAGGTTGAGTATGGTCAGATCCATTGCCACCCTATCACTATATTATATGACTATGAGTTTTTTTATCAATAATACTGTAAATGTTGTAAATATTGTGATAATATGAACACCTCGTTAGCACCTAAAAACATAAATACCACCATATACCCTATGACTATAGGTACGAGTCGGGCCCGATTGAATCCTGACCTGAACCCAGATCCAAATTCGAACCTAAACCTAAATAGTATTCAAGCCCAAAATTTAGACATGCCTAGATCCGGTCGGATATACCCGTCAGATCCATTGCCACCCCTATAAAGTACACTCTTTTAAGGCTTCGCTTTAAGCTCATTGTTGTCCGCTAGAACACTCTTTTAAGGCTTCACTTTCAGCTCATAGTTGTCTGCTACGTTCTGGAATGTTTTAGAAGCTCACATATATGTCATTGGTTTGGGACCACATGGCATTTATAAAATGGTTTGGGACCATGTGGCAATCATAAAAAGCATTTAGATGTTTGGTACTTAGGTTTGGATGGAGGTTTGGTAAAATGAAAAAAACAAGTTAATACAAAAAAGAGAAGGGATTGTATATAATAAGACCGTTTACTTTTGCTACATAAAGAACACAATTACTTACAAGTTACAACCATCCGATATAATATTTGATAGCTTGAGTGCGTCTCAAAATTTGAGAAATTTTTTTTTTAATTTTAAACTTAGACAATAAAATAAATACAACTCCCAATTTTACGATCAATAGTCAAGATTAATTATGATTACATTATACCAAAGGTAAATGATCTCATTATATACTTTTTCAGAAGGATAAGGTAGGATAGTGAAAAAGAGTTCCACAACATTATTATGCATCATGAAATAACAAAAATTAGAGATTCTATAATCCCTGAGGTATACGCTTTTAAAAATTTAAAATTTTACTTCTATTTTTAAATATACTTTTATAATAATATGGAAAAAGTTTATATAGAGCCGAGGCTCTAAACAATCAAATTTGAACCTATCTCAAAAGTTTTATTAGAAGATGTCATTTTGATGGTTAAATATCTTCAAAATGATCATCTCAACATCAAAATGGATGGACATGATAAAAAAATGGATTTGAAGTTTTGTAAATAGTACATTTTGTAACGCATTTTTGGACTGTCAATTTTCAAGATTTTCATAAATCTGTCGATCTACATTATTTTTAAAACTTTAAACTTTATAAATAAATATGAAGATATGTTTTAAGGCTGTCACAAAGATTCCCAGTAGTGAAACCACATTTCTCGACGCTATTTTGAAAGTAGGCTCTAATTTGATTGTTTAGAGCCTAGGCTCTGTACAAACCGCACCCTTGTGATATATCTCTAAACTTTCTACTGAAAAACTGCCCCTTCGTAAGTCCTTAACATATAATTTGTTCCATCGGTCACCAAAAAAAGTGTTTATGGTATTTATTGTTGAGAAATGATCCTATAGGACCCTCACCCACTCATGTGTGTATGACATCAAAGGATCCCCATTAAATTTGGTACATATCTATAGAAAAGTCAAGTATCACACCCATGTGATAACTTTTTTAGAGATCCATGTCAACTTTAATAGTGATCCTTTAGGGTCCTATAAACATGGGTGGGGGAAGGTCCTATAGGATCATTACTCCTTATTGTTATGGTATTTATTGAAGTAATATGCCTATGTGTCCTACAATCAATTTTTGTATTTTTTAAAAAATACGAGCATCTCATAACCAAAGGGCAATATAGCCTTTTATCAATTTTAAAAAATATATCATTGATTTGATAATCTTTTCAAAAAACTACATACTATGAAAATAATTTGAATTGCATAGTAAAAAATATATTATTCAATTTAGATAAATTTCAAATCCAGTTTATTTATCAATATTTATTAAAAGGCTAGAGGTTAATATAAAAGGTTTATTCTTGAAAATTTAACCGAAACAATTTTGTTTTATGAAATAACTTTAAAAGCTCACATTTTTCAAATTTTGATTAATAAATCTTAATAATTTCAATATTATAAAATAAAATTTATAATCAAGAAATATTGTATTATAATATAAGTGTCCAAAATTTGTTAAGTACAATTATAAAATGCTTTATAGGGTGAGCACCTACACCTATATAGGAATAGACTACGCAACACTTGTGGACCAAAATGAACAGTGTTTTCGCCCATAGGCTCATGACCGTCCGAAAAAATCGGACAGCGTGCGTTTTTTGACTACTACGGACCTAACATGTTCGTGACGGTCAAAAATTCATGTGGAACCGCAACAGAAGGTGTGTCATTCGTTGTGGGTCCATTCAATAAACTGTTGTGGGTCCATGGCGGTGGCGAAATACTGTAGCACTTCGCCTATAGACGTTTTTAAGTTTTTTCCATATATATATGTGTGTGTGTGAAACACTTTCCAACTCTTATAGGCGACATGAATAGTATTTTGCCCCCTGCAATAGACATAATATGTATGTTGCGGTTTAACGTGAAAAATAGGCCGCAACAGACATACTATATCCTTAGCAGTTGATTTTTTCTCATCGTTTACACAAAATGAGCTTATAAGCAAAAATACTGTTCATTTTTGCCTATAGGTGTTGCATAAGGCTTTCCCATATAGAAAAGTATATAATGAGATTATTTACTTTTATACAAGGTGTTCACGTTAATCTTGACTATTGGATGTGAAATTGGGTGGTTGCAATTATTGAATTGACTGAGCTCAAACTTCAAATTTTTTTTTTTTCGAACTTTGTGATACATCCAGGCTATCAAATTTCACATCAAATGGTTATAAGGAATTGTGATCACCTTGTATCAAAGGTAAATGGTCTCATTGTATACCATCCCATAAGTGTGTATGTGTGTGTGTGTGTGTGTGTGTGTGTATATATATATATATATATATATATATATATA